CTTCAAAGGGAGTGCCTTGTAAACAAGTCAAGATAAGCCAAAGGTGACAGCCAAGGTAGACCTGTTCTGTGGAAAAGAGGTAGTGAAGGAAGTGCCTTGTATGCAAGTCTAAGTAGAGTTGTTCTGTGGAATGGAGGTAGCTGCATCAACTGCAAAGGAAGTGCCTTGTAAGCGAGTTGAGGTAGAGCTGTTCTGTAGAGCAGATGTCATTGGGGTTGACCATGAAGGGAATGTAAGTGAGTCGAGGTATGTCGAAGTAAGCCGAGGTGATGGCGGGTGTTGGTATCGATGGAGGCCTGTAGCTGGGAGGAATTGAGGTAGAGATGTTGAGTTGAAAAGTGGATAGCCAAGGTTGTAGGTCAAGCCAGGAAGTAGTAATGGCCGTTGAAATGTATGGTTATGTTGAGTGATGGCAGTGAAGGCAGCAACTGCGGCGGTAGTAGTACTTTGTGTGGGTGGTGGCTGATTCACCATTCTGTTGTCCTGGCAGTGGTAGCAGCAGCAGCATGACTGCCGGCAGCTGTGCCAGCCTTAACTGTTCATTGTTTGTCCTTAGAGCCTGCTTTTAAGCAGTTCTGGTAGTCCCAAGGGGCATCTCTGTAACAGGCAGGAAGGTTCGTGATTGGCTGCTGCAGGAGTTCACTTTGTAGACCAGATGTGGTGTGCGGAACCCAATGCATAGAAAATGACTTTTGTTATTTTGCCTTCTGTCCACACAGCATTCACATCTGGTCAGCGTGTAGAATGAATCAGAATGAGATCTAAATATGATGGAGTATAACACTGAGGAATTAGTTTTCTTAATGAACTTATTTTTCTCTTTCTCATGTTTACTTAAATGTGTCTTTAGCTAATTGTTACATTAAGCATTTGGTAACAATGGAAAGGAATAATGAGGATTAGATTTGAACAATGTTTATTTTTGGCATGTCATACAAAGATGTTTAATGATGGTTGGAATGTCCGTTTCAGTGGCCAGTCATCAGGATGGCAGTCAGATAAAGGGCAGCACTGGGAGTTGATCTAATTCTTGCGTGAGTTCAGTGTGAGGTCACAGGATACAGTTGGTGCCTGTGTACATGTTTATATTAATAAGAAATATACATTTACATTATATTATAATAATATTAATACAATAATATCAAAATCCACTATTCATTGATTATAGCAAGCTGATGATTGTTATTGCATGAAACGCTGAATAGCAGATTTTGATATTATTGTATTAATATTACACTTAGGCTCTGCTGACTTTGGCATTGTGCCCTTGGTTTATTTTATAATTTAGGCTTTCAGCTTATTTCAAACAGCTTGTCAGTACTAAAACGTTTTTTTTTTATCAAACGTTTTTGTATTGACAAACTCCAGGGAATTTATCCCAAGGAGTGAAATGGACAAAACAATGGGTACAATTGAGTTTCATTTTTATGTAATTCATTTCTATGCTTTATAATAAATATATTGAGCTCTCTTTTGTGGATCAGTTTTAATATTTTATATTAATAGGGTTCACTTGGATTACTTACCCACGGATTTTATCTATCTATCTATCTATCTATCTATCTATCTATATATATATATATATATATATATATATATATATATATATATGTTTAAAAAAATTTTTTTAAACTCTATATTGATGCGACCGTGATTTTCTTGATTTTTATACAAAATTATTCCTTTTCTTGTTTATAGAAATTTCAAACAGATATTGAATTCGTTTGTGCTTCTATTTTTAAAAAGTCATAATTTGCATAAATTTTCTATGAAAGAAAAATAAAACTTTTATTCAAGAAATATTTGATTTTTGTATATTTGACGATTTCAAAATATCTATACATAGTTACTTACTTAATTTGGTGGCAATTATGGAGCATACAGTAATGAGTGAATTAACCTCACAGTTTTAATGATTTGCGAAATTATTTTGCTAACCGTTACTGACTAATGCATAGCAAAATTATCTTGTCATAGAGTTATGATTGCTCAATGATGAGGTTTCCTTTTATCTAAAGGGAAGCTACTAAATATCACCAAATGAGATTATCTCCCTTGTCTAACTGTCACGCGTTATTCAATTTTAGTAAATGGCCTTGTGGGATAAGTAAGCACTTAGGATTCAAACCAAACTTATTACCAGTGATTTCTGAGACAACAAATTCACAGTTGTATCCAGCTACTAAACCTCAAGGCCTAAGAAACCCTTCATTCAAAAACAACAGCAATACATGAAGGCCTCTTTTGTAGAGAAGTATTGTTTCTCTTACTATTCTATTTTCTATCCTTGGAACTTTTTGGGTCTGGGTATTTACCCTTTGTAATTAAATGAAGAATATTGTATATACTCTGTATTAATGCTTTTGTTTATGTGTTTTGGGAACTTACCTGTTGTCATAACAAACTTTACATCCACTTTGGTAATACTGTTTGTTTTTAAAAGAGTGTTTTTGACCTTCAAGGTTATTTTGATTCATGCTGTGTTATTTGTAATGGAAAGGAATGTTTTTGATTTTTTACAATATGCATGAATCTATTCTTTTTTCCTTATTTCATATCTTGTTATTGGCCAAAAATTTCACATTTTTGGCACACAATACACTAACATTGTGTAGGCATTGAATAATCCATTATGTTTTTTGCATAATTCTCAGCCCTTATCTCCTGTTTTGTGTGTGCCACTTGTTATTACTCCTCATCATGGTTTTCTGTTCTCTGTTTTATTTTAATATTTTTTTCCAATTATGACTGAACCTATACCATCTCATGCAAGTGTGACAAAAAAAAAAGAAGAATATAAGAGTGAACCAGTTGACTCATGAAAGTCAAACTCAAGGAACAAAGAAAAGCTATATCCAAAGGAAAAAATCTGTTATGTCAGACATATTTGGAAAGAAAAGAAACCACATTATCACCTTTGGGATTAGATCCAAATAATAATATAAAGTGAAAGAAGCTGTAGATATAATAAACCTGGAAGAAAATTATACAAGTCAAGGTAGTGTGTATTTCAATGCAGTTTGGATTTATTTACTTAAATGAAGAACAGCCTTACATATAAAATATAAACTGACTTGTGTTACATGCACTACCATGAGATTTTGACAATTTGGTATATTTGCCACTATTTTATTTTTGGCTGCATCATTTTTTCTGTAACACAATATTAATAAGCACCAGTTGAAAAAAGACTTTCGCCACCTCTTTACATATGGATGATCTGCCTAAAGTAGATCATATCATTCTTCTTCTGTGTTGTGTTCCTTCTGGGTGTTGGCAATCATGGCTCCACAATTTCCTGTCCTTTGTAGCTTTTAGAAAATTTTATCTGTTTTTTATCTCTCCTAATCCTTGTTCTGTCAAACATTTACACAAGCTTGTTAAGTAGGTTATGCACTGTTTTTGGCTGTCTCTCTTGCCTTCAATCTGTCCTGTGTGTGTCTAATTTTCCAAGTACTCTTTCCTCATTATGTGCCCTAGAAATTTCACTTTCTCTTTCTGATGTTAAGAATGTATCCTTTTTGTTTCCATTTTCTCTAAAACTTTGTCTTGCTCATCTGTTCAGTTCATGATATTCTGAGCATCTTTCTGTACAATCACATTTCTGTTGTTTCAAGTTTTTTCTTCATCTTTAAGGAGATTGTCCAGCATTCAATGCCATATTGGAGGACTCATATTATATAACAGTTTAGTACTCTTTTCTTTGTTTCTAACAAAATTTTCCTGTTTCTTAACTTTTGCAAGGTATCTTTTGCTATCCCAATGTTCCTTCGGATTTTAGTGTCACATTTTCTGTCCTATGGTAAAACACTTGGTCATATAATAAGTTAATAAATCAGTTAAATGTGTCAACAAGAGAAAGTATTAGACCACTAATTTAAACAACTATTGGAATTAGAAAAATTAATATCAAGACTACGTAAGTATTTTAGTAAACCTGAAGAAAACTACAAAATGGATTAGCCAAAACAAAAAAATAATTTTAAAAAATGAGTAACAATAAAAATGAATGAGATTAATAATTCTAAAAGGTAATGGCTCATCTCAAAATTACAGAAGGTATTGTTGCAAATGCTATATTTTTATGGTAATATGATTATAAGCTAAAACAATATGTTCATAATTAGTGAGTTGTTTTTCTTTTCTAGTATATTATAAAATAAAGAACACTCATAATAAAGCTAATATTTTAGCATAAATTTATATAATATGATATAATACACTCAATAAAACTAATATTATACGAGGTGCCCCCAAAATTATTATTTTATAGTCTAATAACAGCCAATTCTTGCTCAAATGATCTCAAATTTTAACAAAATGTGTAAAATCTAACTAGTTGACTGTGCAGAATTATCTCAATGATAATCTACCAGGAAGATGGATCAGGCATACCATTGATAATGACAATGTGCTGTTGAAATGGCCTCCATGTTCACCTGGCTTGACACCTTGTGATTTTTTTCTATATGAAAGGACAGGTCTATATCCTCCCTCTTCCTACAGGCCTAGGAGAACTTAAGCAAAGAAAGACTAAGGCACTGGCGGATGTTACACAAGACATACTTGTTTGGCAAGAGCTGGACTGCCGACTTGACATGTATTGTGTCACAGGTGGTGCACATATTGAACATTTGTGAAATCAGTTATAAAATCTACATACCTTGTTTGAATTTTAGTAAATAAATCTTTTATTGTTCAACATAAAGCCTTTTTAATTTCATTTGCCTGAGGCATGTAGTTACTCAGATATTCACATTTTGAATTAAATCGATTTTGTGGGGGGACACTCTGTATATCATGTAATATACAATATAATACTCTTGGTATATCAATATATATATACATCAATAGCAATTGTAATATTAATATTAGTACTCATAAAGAAGAGGATGGATAGAGAAAGAGAATATATAGACCTCGTATTATCAGAATGCATTATTAAAACAATAGCCCACAAGAGAAATGAGATGAAAGAAGATCAAAAAGTAACAACTTACCAACCATGTGATGATGTCTAAATGTCCCATCTGAGCTGCAGCATGTAAGCAAGACATTCCATCAAAAGCTGTTATCTTTAAAGATCCCTTTGCTTCGGTGACCAGGTATTTAAGGATATCAAGTTTGCATTCTTGACTTGCCAAATAGGAAGGAGTGGCACCATTGTTCATTTGCATATTCACAGAACTGCAAAACAAATATATTTTATTCTTTTAAAGCCTCATTCTCAGTGAATACAATACAGAAATCATCCATAAAATAAATATATAGACAAATTAATGAGTTGATTAAAAATAGCATTACAGAAATGAAATATTTTTAAAATTTTCTTCTAAGCCAAAATAGAAGTACCAAATAAAATAATTTGTTTTCAAAGTGTCAGAAGTTATCTTGTATACCTACTTTAAGCCTGAAAGTCAGTAATAAAGGGGGGTAAATATTATTTCTTTCATAGACTTCATTGTTGCTTCCTCATATTTTCACCACCTTTCTGTGTCAGATTTCAAATTTGTTGTTCCATGTTTCACAGTAAATTGATTAAACTTTGCTTGAACCTGTAATACTTGAACCTTATCCCTGATATATCCACTTTTACAACATAAAATGTCTCATTTTGAAATGAAGTTCACCTATTGGCATGTTCATACTCCTCCGCAGTCTTTTGAACAGGAGTAGTGGTTTATCCATTGTTTCCTGTTTAGGATTGGGTTTCCAGTTCCTTCTAAGGTTTACTTCAACTCTATACTTCTAATGTCTTCACCTGATCTCTGAAATTGTATTTACTATTTATTTATTTTTCTTCTCCTCAATAGGAATAGATAGGTTTACCTATTGTCCAGTTCATACTCCTCCCTGGTCTTTTGAGGTTTATCCCTTCTTCCCTGTTTAGGATTGGTTTTCTGATTCCTTCTAAAAGTTTTTTCATCATCTTTCACTCTCATGAGTCTCTTGCATCTTAATGGTGTTGTCACCGTGGGACAAATTGATTAAAAAAATTTTTTAAAATAATAAAAAGGGACAACTTTCCTGTTTTTTATCTATTAATATCTATACTTAATCCTTGTTGCTTTCTACAATAATAAATTATATTCAAACAATACTCTTCTATTTTAATGATACCAACATTTTTGTTTTTTTACTAATCATTCACCTAATACAAGGGGCAAGAGCCACTCAAGTAGAGGGTTAATAAATGAGGTTATTGTATGAACAAAGGAAGAGGAGAAGGGAAGAAATGCAGATTATGAGGATATGAAGGAAAGATAATGGTTGACTTGTGACTTGAAGAGGTTAAGATTTTAAGAATTGGGGAAGCATTTGCTTAGGTGTCTGTTCCACAAAGTAACAGTTCTTGCAAACAAGTTGTCCAAATGAAAATTCCGATTTACTAATGGAATGGGAATTATTTGTCCTAGTGTTACATGACATGGTGGGTCTTGGCTGTGAATGCCTGAACTGATGGAACTAATGAATGCAGCTCAGCACATTTGCCATGGAAATAATGATAGAATAGCATTTCATTTGTTGAAAAGTAGAAATTAATTCATCACTCACAAGGCCATGTGGCCACTTTTGAACTCTATGAAATCTGGAGAAGGAGGACTAAGTATCTTCAGCCAAGATATGACAGTGATACTTTATTTTAGGTCTGATCTGGCTCTTGTAAAGATAGGACAATGGCAGGAGGAGTCAAGTACTTTCTGGTGCTCTATAAGGAACTGGCCATTTTCCCAGCATTTTACTATATATAAATCTCATTTGATGTCTGGGTTGAACCAATAGGCATTCAAAGCAAGGAACCTTCTTGAGAGTGCAGCCTTTCATCATGATTATACAGAACAGGACCAGTGCAAGGGTCTTGTCCTCCACCCCCTAAATCTATGATACGAGGTCCTCCACTTCACTACATCTGAATTTTCATAATTCATATAAAACATAATTATAAAACCTAAATATAAAAACCTAATTATGTACAATAAGAGATCATATGCAATATAGGTGAACAATTCAATGTATCTAAAATACAAATTAGAGATATGTCATAATAGATCATTCCATCTTAAATAAATCAACAATGTTTTGTGGAAATTTTTAACATCAACTTGTAATTTTTCTTGTTAAAAAGTTGAATAATTTTAACACATTCAACATTATGATTAAAAAATAGTGAATTTTATATAGTGTTTTTTGAGACTTAGTATGAGCAAAACAAACTCACAGATTTAGATGAAAAAAAAAGACCCAAGAATGGCTTCAAAATCCACAAAAATATTTCATCCTTTAATAGTTGTGCTTAGTTTAATTTGCAACATATATAAATGTGTGCAGATGATAGTGAGGGTTACAAAGCACTGCCTGGGACTCCCAATCCAACCTGTCCCCCTCCCATTCAGTGGTTCAAGGGTAGTATGATACAGGATATGTGAAAAAATAGATAATGCATGTTTTCAAATCACAAATAGAGCACAAAGATAACCATATATCTTAATAATACATAAAAAAATCTTGTAAGTTACTTTTTTAAATAGTAATGTAGTTATTTAAAAATTTATAATCTGAATTGTCTTATCCTTAATTTTCAAGAACTTTATAAAAATTATCCTTGAGAAAAATTTTCCTTTGTTTTTATTGCTTGATTCAATTGTTCACTATATTTAGCATTGTACTGCACATGGTTAAACAGGATGGAATGGGGAAAGGAAGATTGTGCTATGTTATTCTTCCAAATAAGGAAAGTGCATCGGCATTGTGAATCAGCATTGAAAATCTTGGCTTTTGGCTGGACTCAAATATTGACTGATGACACTAGCGGGAAAGACATAACAATCACAGACATAAGGCTACTCTGTCAGATTCTATTATTTTAATTATTGAATTTTACAATTCCTAGCTATAGCACTAATAGAAAAAACATAATAAAATTGTCCATGACTAAATAACAAATGTTTCAAATTTTCACCTATCATCCAGTTCGTATTCCTCCCCAGTCTTTTGAACACATTTATCCCTTGTTTTCTATTTAGAATTAAGTTTCTGATTTACCTTCTAAAGTCTTCTGAGTTTCTTTCACTCCCAAGAACCCCTTGTGGCTTAGTCTTATTATCACATTTTTGGGGGTGAAATGATTTAAAAAAATGTTATAATCTTGTTAAAAGTTTGACTTCAGGTTTTATTCACAGTCACTGAATGGCAACAACAGAACTTATCTGTTTTTATTGAATCAGTTTATGGATGTAGGCTTAGTAGCAGCAGTAGTTTAATTTGGGGGAGAATATGAAGTAATCTGCATATTTTAATATTTTCTTTGAAGGAATTTCTTCCATAGAGTTATTGAAAGTGTTATTCGAACTTTAGTTAAGTCTAAACCATAAATGGTCCCTTAGTTACTAAGATAATTTATGACAGTCAAATAAGTTGTTTGGAAGTGTTATCATATGTTGATAGTGGTTAACAAGCATGTTAATAGATAAGTGATATAATTTTAATATTAATAATTTGTTAAAAGTTCTTTATGTGATACTGCCACTCTTTTTTTTTGCATTAGAAATAAACAGTGAAGCTCGAGATTATAAATATTTTTATTATTCCTACAAATTTGATGTGTATTTTTCAGTACCATTCCAATTTAGTATAAACAACAATGATATATTTTTAAATCTATATTTTTCTTTTTCAAAAAACATATCCTTGGCAGCATTAAAATTCTCATAAATTGGCAAGCAGTTTTCCAGTTAATACAATATCATTTTTATTCAATAATTTCAGCTGTTATGCTGTGATCATTACAGTAAATGACAATGAATGATTGAATGACTAGAAATAATTGATGAGGAAAATGAACAAAAAAAAATAGCAAAAATTTAAAAGATTGGCTCAAAAGTAAATTTGAAAGTAATGATAATGAGCAAAATGATGATATTTTAAGAAGTCAAATGAAATTGCTAATGAGATGAGAAAGACTGAGATTGGATATGTCCTTATTAATTATCAAACTCTGATGATGAGGAGTTGATCAATGTGATCAACAAGAGAGGAAAGGATAATATTGGTTACAATGATTATTGAAAGAAATGATCATGAACATCATAGTAAAAGTCATAGTGGTGGTGGTGGTGGTAGTGGTAGGGATATCAATAATAATGAATCCTTATGGATGATGATTTGGAAACAACTATAGTGAGGTGTAAAAGAAACAAGTCACCTGGTTTTCAATATCATTTTGCTCAATGTTAACTTGGAAATAGAATTAAAAAGTTGAACTTATGCCCTTGTGGTTCCACATTTGAAGAAACTAAGAGCTTATCTAGGTTGATTATCTACAGGGTTTCTGCAAGTAAAAACTTGAAATAGGAGAGCTGAGGAAATAAAAACATGATTGAGCCAGGCATATTGTTGTTGTTGTTTACAATTTTCATTTCTCCATTTATTTTATTTCATTTATTGTGTGTGCACGTATACTCCCAAACAAAAAGAAAAAAAATCAGGATTGTTCTGCATTACTGAGTTGCAGGATTACAGCAGTTTATATTTGCAAAGGAACAGGTAAGTAAAACCTTATCGTCTTAGCCATTAAGCCACAAAAAATGAAGTGATGAAGAAGTGCTTTCAAGCACTTTATTTCTTGTTATTCAGAATTGCAGAACACATTGTTTTGTTCTTACAGATCCATTATGAGTGAAGATACAGAGCTTCATGAATTATGATGCAAAAAACAGGACAGGCAAATATTATGAGCAACTACAGTAAAATTCTTTACATTATTGAGACACTAACTAAAATCTTTGGAGATCCTTTGCACAAATTTTAGTATAATTATTCTAAATTTAAAATGGGAAGAAAAGACAGTTTTGTGAATGGATAACTGTTACAGAGAAACATTTCGTAGCACCTGGACTATTAGCAATGTGGAACAACTGTTTGCTGCATCAGTAACAAAGTAAGCACATTCACAATCCAGTATTAGACATGAATATTGCAGATTTTATAAGTAAATCAATATACTGACTACTCAGGAGATGAAATTTGACAGCACCAATCTTCTGAAAGTAAAGTTTACCTGCCTTTATAATTATAATTTCAAATTCTTACAATTAACTGGACTTCAACACCAAGTGGACTTCCTATAATAAATGTAATATAAACTTTGATAAATTTGGATATTTAATTTTGG